AAGGTGGTACAATCGTAAGTTCACATATTCTGCCACACACATTGGCGCGCAAATTTGTCTTTTAAGGAATTTTGAATTTTACATTATTAGTCATATGAATTGGTCAATTCTTATATTATTTGTATCGTACATATCATATTAAATGTATATGAACTTTGAATTCAACGTATGGTTAGTTTAGAGCTCTGAAAATGAGACTGACATACGACATTATAATATCTTTGGAAATCTAACCTCCATATCGAAGCTTTATTTGTTTATTACTTGGTCATTAAGGCGGTTATTTATTAATTATATAAGAATACTATTTCATTATAAATATAAGAAAATAATTAATTAGTGTATGTACAGTATACCTTCGGGTTCTAACGCAAACTATTAGCACAAATATGTAATGTTAATAAGATATTCCAAAAGTCACAAAAAATCTGGCTCTTTTGTTAATTTTCATCTATACGGAACTCATGTAATGAGCAATTATGTCATAATTTGGACTTACGAGTTGTATTTTTTTTTTTAAATGTCTTATTGTTTTTATAATGTTATGTATTCCGTTTTAGGCTTTTATGTATCGTGTAATTGGGTAATAAAGTCAAATAAATAAATATATGTTATTTTCCAGATATTCGTCGCAGTGGCTGTACCTCTAGATATTCCCGATAAAAATGTCTTCGTGTCATATAACTTCGAGGCAAACTACGGTGTAGTGACCAATATCACTGAAATTGATGAAGTTCTCTTCCCCAATCTACCGGTAATAATTTACAGATAATCTCCTCTAAACTTATGCTACTTTATAATAAAAATGTGACTTGAATAGACCTTAAACACCTAGTAGCCGTATGACGCTGGTGTCATATAGTATAGTATATCACCGCTAAATGGACTATTCAAAGCAAAAGCAATTTCTCAATTTCGCAATTGCTCCTTAGCTTACCGTTAATGACCTGACAAACTCTTAGTATTCGATTTAGATTGAGACTTTCCAAAAATATTAGAATTAATTTACTGGGAGACAGGGCAGGGCCGGATTTAGGGAAGGGCAATTGGTGCCACAGGCCCGGGGCTCCCACCAAAGATGTACCACCGCAATAGAGATTTCGGATATTTTTTTTAAATTCCTAATACTACGCTCAACCTTTACCTTTGTACAAACAAAGTGTCAACAAAGTGTGTGGTCTGTATTTATTATAATTTCATATGTTTGTTAAACTTAAATATTAAAAGAATCTACTTGAGTTCGCAATAAATTATTGATTGAAAAACTCGACTGAAAAAATTTGTCAATTTCATTTGGAAAATAATTTGGGGTCAGGGTCTCTACTCCTTTGTAGCTCCAAGGCCTCCAGAGCTCTAAATCCGTCCCTGAGATAGGGTAATACATAATACATTAATAATGCTTCTCGTTAAAGAACTGTTAAAATAAAGATCTATTTTAAATATATTACTTAATTTAAATTTTCAGATCGTTTCTCGTCACAGCAGAAGTATAACAAGGGAATTGGCGTACACAGTATTAGAAACTAAATTCCAAGAGTGAGTGCTTTAAAATTTATTAAAGGAATGATTGAAATCAAATACTACTGTATTTCTCACCGACTCATAGTTTTAACAAAAGAACTGCGCGTTAGAATCAGTATTTTAAATTTGGAACCTACCTTTATTTGTTTAAGTGTTAAACAAGTAAATAAGACTGTTTTGTGACACATTAAACTTGGTCTCACGTAGATAACAATAATCTTACGCTTTTTTTAGGTATCGACATTTTTTACCTCGCACTTTTCTTTAATCTTTCGTAAAAAATATTAATTTTAGAGTTTATTACAATTTAGGACTGGTAAGTCACTGTGCGCTAGGGTAAAAGTATCACTTATTAAGTCAACAGTTTATAAAAAAAATACCTTTTTGTTTAAAACTAGCTTATAACCATTATACAATTAATCAGAATATCTATTAACTAGTACAAAGTGGCCTTGTTGGCCTATTTATAAATAAATAAATTAGACTGTCCAATCTTTTCGTTCATTACAATATCGCAAAAAAGACACGTCTTTTAAGCACCTTATCATCGGGTTTAACTATGTTTATAACTTTAATTTACAACTTAAATAATTTCAGGAACGGAATGAACGGAAGAGAGTGTTTGCTTCGTAACATCTGTGAGGCAGCGGAGACTCCGCTACATCACAACGGCCTTCTGGGCCACATCATGCATATTATTTTCACGTAAGTTTTGACTAAATTTAATAATATTGTTGTGAAAACTATACAGTACTGATTAAAGCGACAGTTTGTCAATATAGATTTATGTATCTTTAAATGTTTTTTATTATATTTGTTTTGAAATATACAGATAAAATAGAAGAAGATTCATTATTTATAAAAACAATATTCCGTCTAATTGCACCGTTCTAAGGTGTATCACAGCGTATTACACTATTTGACAGAAAGAGACGAAATACTCGTAGTCGTTTAAAATACTTTAGATTTGGATACTGTTTTAATGTTTAGTTGGGATATGTATGTATGTAAAGTTATACATGAATTAATATCACATATTTTATCTGTTCTGATACGATTGTCGAATACAATTAAAAGTAATAAGTCAATGCTGCACAGTGCTGCATAAGTTTACTCTTAGTGAAAGTTGGTATCTTAAAGAAATATTAAAAGAAGTTCTCTTTTCAGGCCTTCAGCATCAAAAGAAGAAGGCATAGATGACATATATTATGAAGCAGAGGCAGATGGACAGAGAGGTGACTGTGACAGGTACTACAATGAATGCCCGCTAAGCCTTTTTGACATGATCACGGAACTTGTTGTAACCAAACATTAAAAAGAAATTTGAATTGTTTTTCTTTCTTTACATTTAATTAACTAACAATCAACTGTCCATTATTTACCTGAAGATAACACCTTACACACTAAATTTAATTGAATCGATACTTTTAATAAACAAAACTGTATTCGATTATTAAATTTTTGCTTTCAATTTCATCATTTGTTTCTGTTATTTCATTTACCATGTTAGAATTTTTCTAGGATTGACTCCTATTAATTGATGGTTTTAATTAAACAAATTTAACGAATTTTTATGTTTCGTAATGGAATACAAATCATACTAGGAATACTAGATAATTAAAAAATAATTTAATAAAATATAGTTTACTACTGTACTTTAGAACTTTTTTCAGGTAGTATTAAATTTCTATTCACTATTCCACGTTCACCTCTAGATTGTCATTGGAGATTACGTAAATAGTCGATTATAGTTCTCTTATAATTGAAAATTTTAGCTTATGTTTGTAACTAGTTAAAATGTGTCAGTGCAAAAGGCATTTCAAAAGGCATTAGGCTATGCTACTTCCAAATTCAAATTTAATGACGTGGAATAAGTAATACATGTATCTTATGTTCCTTAATAAACATAAAATTTAAATTAAAAATTAAATTAGCCAAATAGTGTCTCAGTGAAGAATTTGTAACAATTTAATTATTTAATTTAAAATCCCATAACTCCCTTTATGACTCATTTATAAGTTTGTAATTTATCTTTGATCATTTTTATTTTGGCTTATCTATTTATTTAATTACACCGAAAAATGACTTCTTTATATAAATTACTGGTTTGCCCGGAGTCGAAAACAGAACCTTGCTATATATGGAGGCGGCTAAATAAAACAATCTTCATAATAGATTATATATTGTGCTCCTAAATTACATAAAACCTTATTACATATTAGTAAAAGTAAAATTCACAGCCTTAATACTTAAAATTATACCTTGTATATCGCTAAATAACTGTGATTATTGAAACTACTATTTGCATACCACGAGTTTGCATAAGAAGAATTTTACGCGTAGGTACTCTTTTATAAAAATATTTAACACAAACTTGTGATTGAGTGTTGGCAAGTCGAGAGGATTATTATGAAGTAAAGACTACAATTTTGTCTTAAGATCGTATAACATATCATATTATGGACACTTCTTACAAATCGTGTGACGTTTGTCTTATGATTTATAAAAAAAAACCATAGAGTCATTAATTCCACCACAGTAAAATCTATCTTAAGACTTAAATGATTGACAATGTATTATAACACATGTAGTTTACACAGCCTTTAGACATCTGATACAACCTTAACATGATTTTAAACTTCTATTTCGTGTATGGAAAGGCCAGTGCCGGATTAGCCACATAGCAAGAGTAGCAAATGCTACGGGCCCCGCGAACTTAGGGGCCCCGCGCTCCAACGCCTGTCTGACCGTAATAAAAAAAGTATTAATTTAGATAGTAGCGTAAAATATCTTGCATACCTTTAACGCGAAGCGCTTAGTCTATGCTTCACTTCCACATAAAAATAAACTCGACTTCGTCAAGTATAATCGTTAAAATAAGAACATATTTATCTTTTTAACGTTAATTTTCAAATTTTAATTATAATCGATATACATATTTAGACTAGCATGTTATTTGTACCCTTCAAATTTTTATTATTATATAGGTATACATTTATTTTGCTAGTTTACGTAGCCGAGATTGTACTTTTCTAATCGATTTTAATATAATATCGATTATAAGTATTTCGAGGACATAGGCGAACTATTTAAATCCGAAAGCCTAACCAAGGGCCCCTAGGCAGAATTTGCTACAGGCCCCGCGCTGGCTTTATCCGGCACTGGGAAAGGCTTACAGGGATCCCTCACTAACTGAAGCCTTCCAATTTCGAAATGTGGAGTAACGAAAATATTTTTTATGTATTACGTAGACATTAAGTTTTAACTAGAACTAGAAGTTAAACGTCTTTTTGTCTAATTATTATTGTTATATTTAAATAAAACATGAAAAGACTATGCGATTTAGAACAGTGCCAGGTCTTCCTGTCCAGTGTACGCCTATTATTTGAGAAAGCAGTAAACGCTAAAATCATTCCATTTTTGATAGTGATACTTTATTCTATTCTATATCTTCATTACAACATGGCTGTAGTCTTCGTCTACACAATACCAATTGTCTCAACATCCTTAGGGTAATAGAAGTTATTCTTCCTCATCGGTATGGAAGACAGTTCTTGATCAACTGGAACACGGGTGTCGTAGAGTGAAGGTGATTGGAAGATGATTCCAAAGGTCCCAACAAAGCAAGCAATGGTGAACAGCCAGAGGAAGAACCTGTCTAGTACCATAGACATGAATTTCCAATCTTCAACAACCTGCGAAAGAGGAATCTTTTAATGATATTTTAATGATGATTAATTATGATTACATATATATTTTCCGTGATTAGTAAATGTATATTGATGATTACACTAATAATTAAAAAATATATATATTTTATTGTATTTTACCGGGTTGACTCAGGGAAGCAACCATTGATGCAGTAGTATTGTTATAAAAACTAGTTTAGCCAAAAAACCGGACCAATTATTAAAAAGCCGACAACGCAGTGGCAAGCCGAGCATTGAGAATGTCCATGGGCGGGGGTATCACTTAACATCCGATAAGCCTCTTGGACGTTTTCCCCCTGTTCTATAAAAAAAACATAATTTCCATTGGGTTCAAGTTGCTATTTGCAGTATTTAAGATTGGTTAAACTTTGAAACATGCATTTTGCAACACCTACAAAAATTTACCTAAAAGAGATCGCTTGTTAACGAAAAAACCGTTTTTTAGTAATTTTTAGTAACTTCCATTGTATCTCCTTATGTTCAATTCAAGAACAAATATAGCCTCATATAAATTACCGAAATCAAAAACAATCGACATTATTTCTTTTATAATAAATCTCTAATATAATTCTTTATACCGTGCTATACTTGAATCAAATGTTTATATATTTAACCTGATCATACAGCTATTCGAAACAACTCTTTAAGCAGAATTTTTTCATTATTTCCCGTCGCCAATGGCTTTTTGTGCTTTAATGAAAGGAAGCGTATTATCGTGTAATTTCCTGATGTAGATTAAGAGGCTCGCGATAATGTAACGCTGATGAAAACTAAAGGACTTTGTTGCTGTAGTTCACAGTCAAAGGACGTAAAATAGCAATTTGGCACTCGCTGGTATGGAAAATATGTAAAGAAAGCTTTGTTGCCGTTTCTTTTCGAGATTTTTTTTAGAATTAACAGATTGTAATATTTATAATGGTGTGTTGAAATTTAAAATGGATTTTGCTAAGTAACAAAACGATTACGATGAGCAGTGTTGGTCTAGTGTCTTGGGCGTGCGGCGATAACTAAGAACCAAATTTGGTCTGGCGTTCGAATCACGGCTGTCCGCCTAAGGACTTTTCCTTCCTGGAGCAGTATTGGCCTAATGGCTTCAGCGTGCGACTCTCATACCTGAAGTCGTAGGTTCGATCCCCGACTGTGCACCTATGGACTTTCTTTTTATGTGCGCATTTAACATCGAACGGTGAAGGAAAACATCATGAGGAAACCGACATGTCTTAGACCCAAAAAGTCGACGGCGTGTGTCAGGCACTGGAGGCTGATCACCTACTTGCCTATTAGATTTAAAAATGATCATGAAACAGATTTGGTTCGGATAAAGAGGTTGTAGCGCCATTGATTTATTTTAATACTCGCTCGTACAGTGAAGTTAAACATACCATTCTCTTTCCTTAGATATATTGTAACATCACTATTTAATATGTTATGGACACCACTAGTGATTTGTCTATGATTGATATTTTCGTCCGTAACTGCTATGTCGAGACTCGCCTGAGTCACAACCTATTGTCTGATGTATAATTATAAAGTGTGTTTAATTAATAAACTAAGTGTACTATAGACGATATATTTAATTACTCTTACAAACATAACATGGTATCAGAAGTGGGATACGAAGCCATGCCCTCAAATCGAATGTGTGAGGGACATAAGGCAGACCTACAGATCTCTGAGGCGTAGAGATTGTAGCGCCACTTTTTATGTTCTGTTTTTTTTTTTTTTTAAGGGACCCCTACATCGTAGCCTATCAGCCACGCAATCAGGCAGATTTGTGACCGAGTGGCCAAGCAGCAGGGGAGTGTCAGAATCTCCCCTTTCTTAAAAAGGGACATTATTGTCTTAAAGGGTTGGCGTCTCCCGCCGGGCCCGGGCGACAACTACTCCGAAAATATCGTCATAATATTTATAGGTGAGTCGGGGCCCGTTGCCCGGCGACACCCGCGTTACCTCTCGTGCTATTTTTGTGAGTGACATATCTGACAATCTTGTCGCAGAATTTTTCCAGCTGCGATCTGTGCCCAAGCAACATGTCGGATAGCCCATCCCGGGATACCATCATGCCAGTCTCGAGTTCCAGATCGCACCTGGCCCTTTCAAAATTCGCACAGTCGACAAGTAAATGAACCACACGCGGGGCTTGTCTTCAGTTTGAGTCTGTGTAAATAGTGTCCAAAAGCCCCGTGGCCAGTCAGGATCTGCGCCATGTGAGGTGCGAAACGCCTTGTCTTGATTTGTTTGTATGCCGCATTTGCATCTTTAAAAAACAGTGTATGTTCTGTTTGAAGTCACCTAAGTCCAGTCCAAACTTTCAGATCAGCTGTTTCATTTATATTTTATTCTTAGAATTTCTAGATTATGCACTGTGTGTGTAAAACACGCCAGGAATGCAGTAATCTGCCCAACTCCTAGCCAATTCAAGTTTATATAACTAATACATATATATTTATTTTGTAATAATATATACATAACTTAAATTCGTCGTTCAAATATCAGTCATAGATGTTAAATATACGATCACTTTTTGCACGGACACAATAATAAACAACCCCACTGTGTAAGCGTATTTAAAACTTAACACCTATAATATTCTTTTGCAAAATAAGCATAAGTATTAACAAATTCGTAAGAGAAAACTTAAGGAAATGTTTGATTCCAAAGGCTTCTATTTGAGATAAAAGTCAAAGAAGCGCAAGCTAACTCAATTTATACTTATGACAGGGTATCGGAAAAGACTTGTTTCCATATATACAGATTTAGGATGACGTATTTTCTGTTAGTAAACTTATTTTATCTAATTTCATGTTATTCACACTATCATACACCAATAAATTACGATTTTAATATAAAAGTATTGTGTTAAACTGATTTAGGCCGTAATGCTTCTGTAGTCTGCTGAAATGCTGCTGAATTTTGGTAGTGTTAGTAAATTTTACAAATTATAACGCGTAAGGTTTATAGGTAGTGCGTTTATTATTGCCAGTAATGCTGATTGGAAGTGGAAATTTTCATAAAACGTGGAGACGAAAATATTCGAAAAATTCAGAATAAGTCGTCTGTATAAGTTATTTTTATTCAAAATAAAATCCTTAAAGTATAATATTATAGGTCCCTATATGATGCTTACATTTTTCAATGTCAACCTAAGGAACTTCATACATATAACTCTTGGAAATCGTCTTTGAATAAACAAAATTAGCTTCCAAATAGACATTACTGAATACTAACCAATATCAATGTAAAACGAAATTTCTTTCCCGTTCTGTAAATTCTATAAAAGTATTGCAGTTCATAACGAGGTTTCAAAGTGAAGTTCGAGTTCAGGCTCGTTACCGCACTTTTTGCATCCTACAAAAACTAATAAAGTTCCGAAACAAGGCATTATTGTATTACCTTTAGAAATTCAATTCGTTTATTGCATCTTCAGTTACAATTGTTACAATGGAAGTTATATCGCTGTTGTCTACTGATAGCTTATTTTTTATAATATTTTTACGATTCGATTCTAACGTACGTAATTGCTACGTGACCGTAGAAATGTTTAATGATTTCTGAAAAACAAGGGATGATTTTACTAGCTTTTAAAATAATTGAATTGTTACCTTAATCCTGACCAACAATATATTACTTATTTGATCTAAAATAATAAATTAATATGTAACTCTATAAAACAAAATAAACCTTAAATAACTAAAAAAAGTAATTTATTAAATTTTTGACTAATTATTAAACTTAGTTAACTCCTTAATATTAATTGGTTTAATTTAAAAAAGGTACACATTTCTGACATAATTAGATTTTCTAGTACTTTATCTCTCTCTCTCTATTTATTGGTCGCTTTGTTCATTAATCTCGTGACAATGTATGGGAGGTATATTCTTGAGTCTACAGCATTGATCACTTAAGACAACCTTTTGTTCCTGATCCAAAATAATTATTAATAAATCACCGTAAATTATAAATGGGGTATAAAGATGTAAAAAATTGTCTAATATATAGGTATGCTTGAAAAAAAATACACGTTGAATTGAGAACCTCCTTCGGTTTTAAAAGGTTAAGCTTTAGGTTAAAACCAAAATAAAACTATTACTTCTACAGATTACAGGACGCAACATGCAATCTTCATGTTGGATTATTTATTAAGAGAAACTGACCACAGTATAAATTAATGGTACTAGTATTCCATGTGGAATACTCAGTAGGTCAAAGTTGAAGTCAACGAGGCGTTGCTCTGTGTTAGCCGAAATCAGTGAGTGCACGCTCTCAAGGGAATTGAGCACACTTTATAAACACTATTCATTTTGATAAAACATAGTTGGAATATTTAAGTATTTATCTAGGTTTATTACATTCACACATTACACAAATACTTTATGATTAACTTATAGCCAATCCGATATCAAAGATATCAGCACAGACAGACAATTTACCAAACGCCTGATGAAAATTGCATAGCAAACTTGTCAGTTTTCAGGCGAAGATTATCTACGATGCTATCAATGTATTAACTTTTTTCGGTCAAAAAATTTGAACCAAACAAATAGCACTTTGTTACTCTTTTGTTAAATACATATTATATCGACTGAATAGTTTTAAATAAGAAATTAGCGACAATAGTTTAAACCTTTCTATCACTGATAACTTTGTGAGTCTGACCATTACTGTAAATATAATTCGCGTTTATATGTGTTAAAATGTAAAAAAACAAGCTTCGTAACACATTCATTCAAAACATTGGATCGAACTATACTTAATGAATGAATTAAATTCTTAGCAGTATTTCGCTTATTTTTTTAAGTACAATTGAATTTGCTTAAACCAAATATTATAATATACCCACACAAACCAACTTCTAAAATTAATAATTTCCAAGGCAAACGTGGTAAAACAGAATTTCATACCAAGTTTCATACTTAGCCAAACGCACGAGATAAATACAATGAAGGTTATTTAAAATTTGCGGCGAATGGTAATATTTGTGACAATTTTGGTGAGTGTTTGCATTAGATATGGTTTAACCAAAGCATATTAAATTATTGAAAGTAAATATCCGATTAAGCCTTACATTATCTATCGTTATGTAAATTTTAATGCTTGTATTTAATTTAAATGCGGTTAAATATTCGTTCAGTATAATTGGAGGTTTTATAATGTATTTAGGATACATTTTAAATTATTGTTTAAAATTTCACTTGACATGTTATTACGAATTGTTATTGATTCATACATTTTAGTGTATAATACGTGATATTGTAGTAAAACTGAAAATATTTTTCGTTATTTCGTGTATTATTAAAAATGACTAGGTGTGGTCTATCTGACGATTGTTAGATATGCGATGTTTTTCGCGCAAGTGTAACTTAATATCACAATCAGTTTGCTTTTAGCTTTAGACACACAAATTCATTCATTCATTGAACGATTTCCTAACGTACATCATTTTTTTTCAATATTTTTTGTTATTTCGTGCATTATTAAAAATGACTAGGTGACGTCCATCTGACCATTGTAAGATATGCGATGTTTTTGGCTCAAGTGTAGTTTAGTATCTCAATCAGGTTGCTTTAAGATTTACTCGTAGATACTCAAAAGCAAAAACAATAGCGAACTACTTTCTAAGAAAAATACTCCTGAAACAAATTTAAGAATATTGTATTTCTACATTTACTTATAAATACAAAAAGATCCGAGAACAGTATACATGCACATATACAATTCTAAATTTATTGCGCAATGTGATAAAATATTCAAGTAAGCATCGCATATAAAATGAATGGCTTCCCAAAAGGCATTTCAAGAGTGCAACTGATGCACTTTGGAAGAATACTACGTTTATCTAGCTACGTTTTATGGAGCGATCAAATTTTCATATTAACGATTTTATACTGGAATTACGAATATTTTTAATTATTTGTTCACTCATTATTTCTGTATATCTAGTGTATTTAATGTTAATCTGATAGACATATTTGTATGCAGAAAAGAACATTCGATTTACGAATGTTTTTTTCTATCTACGTAATAAACTCGCTCGTATAGTAAAACATGACAAGGAAACTAGTAACTGTCTTAACCACAAAATCGACATATTGTGTCAGGCAGAATAAAAAAATAATTAAATCAGTGGCGCTACAATCTCTTTAGGTCTGGGCCTCAGACTTCTGAATCTGTTTCATGATCATTTTTCAATCCAATAGGCAAGTAGGTGATCAGCCTCCTGTGCCAGATACACGCCGTCGGCTTTTCGGGTCTAAGACATGTCGGTTTCCTCACGATGTTTTCCTTCACCGTTTGAGCGAATGTTAAATGCGTACATAGAAAGAAAGTCCATTGGTGCATAGCCGGGGATCGAACCTACGACCTCAGGGATGAGAGTCGCACACTA